ACTGTGCCGTCTGCTCACTGCCGCCATGTTCCACTGCCATACCAAGGGATCCAAATGCTCTCATTGCTTATAACTGGTAATTGTGGACGTTGAATTTGAGCAGAACCAGCTAAAGTGGGAAATTGGGGTAATGATCGGGATACAAGAGATGTTAATTTTTCCACGTTCTTGTTTTTAAAGTGTTCCTGGAGATCATGTTCAATGCTCTTGTTCTCATTTCAGAAATCCCTCAGAAGCGTTCCAGGTTGGACCGTTACAAAGAGATCATCCGGAGTCTTCCTCGGGTAAACCGGACCACTCTGGCTGCCCTCATCAGTCATCTTTATAGGTGTGTGTTCTCATCAGCTGCAGCGCCAGGAAGCAGTTGCCGGTTCTGACCTGTCTCCTCTCTGTCAGGGTCCAGAAGTGTGCTGACCTGAACCAGATGTGCACCAAGAACCTCTCCCTGCTGTTTGCTCCAAGCTTGTTTCAGACCGATGGGAAGGGTGAGCACGAGGTGAAGATCGTTGAGGATCTGATCGATAACTACCTGTACGTCTTTGAGGTGGGTGGACTCTCAAGATCATCTGGAGGTTCTGCTGGAGGAACCTGTGGACTTTGCTCACCTGTTGCACCGTTTCAGATTGACGAGGATCATCAGACTCAGATTGAGCTGGAAATCAGCCTCATCACCAGCTGGAAGGATACTCAGGTCTCTGCCCCCCCCAAAAAAATTTAAACTTCACAGCAAATCTCACCTTATTTGTTCTTGATATATTAAACATTTGGAAAGTCCAACTGAAAATAACTGTAGACGTCAGCCTCCTGGTTATTGAAGAACTGACCAGGGATCAGTTTGTGTGTGCAGCTCTCTCAGGCCGGTGACCTCATCATTGAAGTCTACCTGGAAATGAAGATCCCAGACTGCTGTATCACTCTGAAAGTAGGTCAGTTTTCATCTATCCAACATCTGCTGAGCTCTGAGGTTTTATATTGTGACCTCTGACCCCCCAGGTGTCCCCCACTATGTGTGCCGAGGAGTTGACCAACCAGGTTCTGTACATGAGGAATGTCCCGGCTGGAGAGAAGGACGTCTGGATGACGTTCGAGGCCATCGAGGACGGCCAGCTGGGTGAGAGCGAGCACCTGTTCTCCTGGTTCTATCCCAGTTTTCCGGGTTGAACCAGTTTTCCTGGTTCTGTCCGTTGTGCTGGGTGAACCCTGGGGTTCTTGCTTCTGATCTGTGTTTTGGTCCTCTCAGAACGTCCGTTACATCCCAAAGAGAAGGTTCTGGAGCAGGCGCTGCAGTGGTGCAAGATGGCTGATCCCAGCTCTGCCTTCCTGGTGGTAAAGAAGGTTCCTAAAGGAGAGGGCATCAATATCCTCACCTGTAGGTACCACACCTGGATCCACACACACACATGAAGGGTTCTGATCCATTTAGCAGGGACATGTTGCGGTCCTGGAACCTCTGAGGACAGAACCTAGAGATGGGTACATCAACAAGTTTAAGTTTATGTTCTGTGCAGAACATCTGGAGAACATTTCTTCTGTTTTAAACCATCAACCTTTGTTGTAAAAGAGGCAGGCCTGTTTTCTGATCCATCTAAGTAGAAATTTGTTCTCCTTCTAGGATAAAATGTTAAAAAGTTGCATGACGAATGGCTAAGTCCAGGCCACAGTAGAGCCACTATCAGAGGCTTAGCTTCAGTAAAGTGGAAGTGTTTGATGGGTCCCAGACTGGTTCTTCTGGGGGTGGAAGGAGAAGAAACTCATCTCGATTGACTGCTGCCCTGCATCTGTCCCCATCTATGTCCATTTGTTCCTCAGCTTATAAGAGTGAGATCATGAAGGTTGGGCTGCTGCGGTGCCGGGAAGAACCTCCCAAGCTCCTTCAGGGAAACCGGTTCCAGGAGAGAACGTTCCAGATCCGAGACCATAAACTGCTGCTGCTCAAAGACAAAAGGGTGAGCAGAACTCAACCAAGAATCAGTAAAGCCGTGTGTGATCCGGTGTGACTGGACCGCCTGTGTTTCTGTTCAGAGCATCAAACCTGAGAAGGAGTGGGCCCTGAAGACCATGAAGATCTACATCGGGATCCGCAGGAAGCTGAAAGCTCCAAGCAGGTGAAGCACCAACGTTTCTGATGGAGACACAAAGCAGCTGGGCTTTGGTCAGAGTTCTATTTCAGCTGGACCTTTAATCCCGCTTTTTTAAGATCCAATTCAAAGGTTTTAGTTCTTTTCACTTTAGACCTTCTTGGGACGTTAAGTAGGAGGTCTGAGTCCACTAGAACCAGATCTGCTTACATTTCTAGGTTCTGCAGAATATAAAACGTTATTCTATCGGATCAGAAACTAAGAAGTTTTTTAGATGCAGACACTAATCTGAGACCAGAGTTCTGATCTAGGATTGGATAAATTCTGCCTTTATACCTGGTTCTGACCTAGTAACAGGCATCTGTAAATGGATCAAAAGGTCTGCAGCTCCTCTATGATATGTGTCTCTGCAGGTGGGGCTTCACTGTGATATCAGATAAACACCAGCTGTGAGTATTACCTAAGGACCGATTTTTATGATCAAACTGGGTCATTACAGTTAGTGATCATTTTGACCAATCGGCAGCCTGCTCCTCCCCTCAGGTTCCTGTGCTGCAGCAGTGAGGCCGAGCTGTGGGACTGGGTCACCAGCTTCCTCAGAGCTCAGGTGAGTCCACCGTCTGCAAACTGATCCTGGATCAGGGCAGCTCACTCAAGAGTTCTGTACTGTTTTCAGAATGATGATCCAGGTCCTCCCGTGCTGCGGCGCCATTCCTCCTCCGACATCTCCAAGCAGAAGTTTGGTACCATGCCACTGGTTCCCATCAGAGGAAATGAGAGAAACAGCAGCATGCTGTCAGCCAATCAGACCCTGGTAAGAAACTCTAGTAGTGGGTCAGACACCAGAACATCGGATTGCTTGTTGTCTTGAAATCTTCCTCTGGGTTTTAGATGTTTTACTGAGTTTCTTCTTCTTTTCCTGCAGAGAAAATTACATGATAGGAGGACGCTGTCCATGTACTTTGTGAGTAGTTGGTCCCTTTACTGATTTAAACTGCTTCTTCCTGGTGGTTCAGTGGTTAGACAGCAGGGATTGGGAGTACTGGAGAGGCCCGATTCCAAACCCGGACTCTCCCACTGGGTCCCTGAGCCAGACCCTAATCCCAGGATGCTCACCGGCGCTGCAGGGTGATGGGTTATGGAAATCATGAGGAATCTATTCGTTCAAAAGAACAGCTCAGAAAAAATAAGAGGAACTGGTTCAGACTGATCCATTAGTTTGCGACATCACATCCATGTCCCTATGTTTTACTCTGTGGAAATGTTTTTATTTCAACTAAATAAAACTTTGTGAGGTCTGACAAAGGTAAGGAAATAAAAACTTTGGAGTCCTTAAAGTTGAAAAATAAAACCAAAATGAAAAATCAATACATATTTTGTTTGAATTTTTTATTTTACAGATATTCCTTTTTTTATTATTAATTCCTAAAATTCTGTTTTTCTGTTGAAAAACAATATTTTAAATGATAACAGATGAATAAAAACAATTAGTTTGACAACTGTGTGTTTATGAAAAACAGATCAGAAATAAAAGAAAATACCAAATGTGTTAATGGTTAGGATTTCTGAAACTTTATTTAAAATCTGTGGATCTTCCAAAACCAGCTGCTACTTCAGTACTGTAAACCTGGGTTCTCTGTCTGTCTCCAGCCAATGAAGGTCCAGCAAGACTCGTTTGAGGAGCGTTCCGAGTCTCCAGACCTTCCTGAGCCACTCTATGAGGAGGTGGGGGACTTTGGACTGCAGGTTCTGAAATCCCTGGAGACCAGCTTCAGGTCCAGCAGCATCGCAGAGACCCAGGAGGTCCCGGACCAGCCTCCACTCAGACTGGTCCTATCAGAGAGCGGCCATCTGGACCACATTATCATCCCAGAGGAGGTCCAAACAGCACCGGGTTCTAATGAAACGCTGGAGCAGAGCAGCAATGGAGGAGGAACAAACTGCAGTACTACTAATCAGCCAGCAGGAGGAAGAATGCAGCCACTGCCAGGAGGCTGCACACCTTCACAGGAGCTACTCCTGCAGGAGCTGTCCTCAGCCTTCAACAAGAACACTGATGAGGAGGAGCGGGAGGAAGAGGAGCAGAAGGAGGAGAAGCTGTATGATGTCTGAGGGAGCAGCACCAGCAGGTGGGAGAACTTTTAAACGGGAAGATCAGAACCTTTAGGAAGCTCAGCTACAAGTTCTTATCAGAGGACGAAGCCAGTAAGCCTGATGAGGGTTCAGCTCAGGTGGACCAATCAGAACCAGGCAGGTTCCTTCAGAACTGTGGACAAGTGATACTGTAGCTGCAGGGGTAATGACGTCATAACCATCAGGTGACAGGAAGGTCAGCTCAGATGGGAACGTTTGGGACACACATGGATTTGTTTTTGTTTATTTACAGGTTCTGTTTAGATTTTGTGGACTGGATGGGTTCTGATAGAACTGATGAGTGCAGTGAGGTTGCTTCTCTGGACCAAAATTAAAATCTTCAATAAAACATCCTGAGAACTTTGCAGTCCGAGTCTAGAGCTGAAAGGGTCTGATCGGTTTATCAGAGGACCAGATTGACAGGAGAAACATGCCCTGATGGGGGAGGGGGGAGAAGAAGAAGAAAATTGTGCAGAACCGAGCATGAATGAAGCTGTGAACAATAAAGATCTCGTCTTGACTGGTTCCGTCTCATTTTTATTAAACACCCTTTCAGCTTTCAGTCACATGGAGCTCCTGGTCCATGACATGAATAATCAAAGAAAGCGTCTGCATCTGTTACCATGGTAACCAAGAATAAAATATTCAGAAACAAACTTTGGAGATCATTGGTGAGGCTCCATCAGCATTGGTTACCATCGTTACAAACAGGCGATGGGATACAGGACCAGTTAGAGGGGTTAGCATCCATTACCATGGTAACCGAGAAAGGTGAAGCATTGAGCCCATCCCAGAGGTCAAAGCTTTAGTAACCTGGACAGGTATTGCTTGGCTAGCTACTTCTTCTTCATAACCTGCAATCTCCGAGCAGCCGATAGTCCATCTATCAGTCCTGAGACTTTCAACGGCTTGTAAGCAGCAGATTTATGGAGTCGCTCTCCTTTCAGAGTCACAACGTGTGGAAGCAGTGGAGGCGTCCTCAGCCCAAAACCTGCAGCCGCTGGTCCGTGAATTCTCAGCTGAACCTGTTCACCTGCTACTGCCGTCACAGCAACCCACCCTGTGCACAGAAAGGTGGATTCAGTCAGGGAAATTCATTAACCCTTGGGGTCGCAGGGGCAGCAGGCCTACCTGCTGATGACAGAGTGATGTCAGCAGCAGCCTCCAGGTAACCAAGACCCTCCAAACTGAAGTCCTGAGGAACCAAAGTGGGAAACTGCTTCATCCTCTCCGACCCTCCTACAGGCACCTGAACACAGCACAAAGAGCAATTCCAGAGCCTGTACGCAGCGGTCCGACTGATGGGGCGAAGAGTCAGACTGCAGTAATATTACTTACCCCTAGCAGAGCATGGCCTGCATGTCGCTCATAGATGCTGTCAGCTTTTTCCAAACCGGTGACGTGAACTGGGACACGACTGGAGGCCAAGACTGTAAACCAGCAGGACTTGCCCCCCTGCAGACAAAACCTTCTGTCAGTTCGTCCATCAATCAATCAATCCATCCCTCCATTCATTCTGATCATCTATCCCTCCATCCATCTCACCTGCAGGAAGTCAACCCGTGCCAGAGCTCCAACAAACAGACTCATTCCAGGCTTCAGCACAAATGTCCGAGGGACAATGGCCTGGGTCGGAACCACCAACCGGACCTCCTGCTCGTGCAGCAGGTGGAGGATCTGCAAAAAGTCCAGGGTTGGGTTGAAGAGAGGAAAAGTGTCGAACCAGGTTTATAGGATTCTAGTGTCCTATAAACCTGACACCTCAGCTGGTGTCTGCGGGTTTCCCACTGAGGGACTCCAGCTTTTCCAATAACGGAGAATGAGTCAATTAGAAGGTTAGAGAACTAGATGATTATCAAAAGTCTCAAAGCCAATTAAGGAACATTATAATTAAGTAATTAGAACATTTTACATACTTAACAAAAAAGTCATTCTTTTAGAAAAGTTAAAATTAAGACATCTTTAAGATTAACATAAGTTTACACTTTAAAAGAGATTTGGGTATTTAAAAGATGTTTTGACAATTGGTGTGGTAGCTATGGCATAACGGTGAGAGAGCAGAACATGTGCATCCTGGAGAACTTGCAAATGTTGTCGGTTCAAACTTCAGACATCAGTCAGGCTCATTGAGCAGGACCCAAACGCAAAACACTTATTGCTGTCTACTGGATGGCTTAAAAGCAGAGGACGTATCCTGACTGAGGAATTGTTATAATCTTAAAAACATAAGAATTTTCTCACACAATTGTACCCAACTCTTTTTTTAAAGTATATTTTGATATGTTAAGATTTTAAACAGTTGGGATTAAAATCATAATTTAAAACCTGTACAGGGTCCGACTGATATTAATAACCCTGTACAGGGTTATTAATAATGATGATGAGTGATGATGATCAGCAGTGTGATGAAGGCCATCAGTGGGATAATAATGGTTACATTGATAAAGATGATCTTACGTCGCGCTCCTTGATGATTCCAGGGGTGTCATACAGCCAGTGGGCATCTTTCAGCTCGTTGGGGCTCAGCCCCTCATGTGACCTTTCAGCCCCTGGGGGATGAATCAGAACATGAAGACTGTGCTGAGAACCTAATAAAAAAACAAAACAAAAACAAACCTAACGGGTCCAAACTGGATCCCTTAAAATGATCCCACCTTCTCTTGTTGTGTCTTCGTCATTGTTATCTCCAAACGCCAAACTGTCTGGATCAAACTGGATCTCATTGCTTCTGGATCTTTCAGACCGGAACGTTTGCCCGACCCGACCTGTACAGGCGAGTATGTGATTAGGAACTTAGCTGACGTCGCCCCCCCCGGTCCACCCCTACACCTTACCCACTAAGTATCCTCGCCGGCCGAGCTGTTGCAGCCTCCTCAGCTCATCGGCTGGCAGCTCCTCCTCTGTCTGCTGCAGCGCCTCCTTCAGGCGCTTCTGACGCCGGAACATCCGGTACGGAGTCGGGTTTATGATGGGGAACTTTAGCAGGTTCAGAGTTGTGCCTTAACGCACCACAGCCACAACACAAACGTTGAAGAATTAGAGACATTTCAAGGAAAACTAAACTGCACATTAGTATACTGTGAGTTGGGTCCGATCCTGGTTTTGGCTGTGTGTTACTAACCGGGCCACGGAGAGATTGTAGCCTTGTTCAGGACTTCAGCAGCTCTGGACTTGCAATAATCCGACTCAAGCAGTGCGTTGAACAGCGTGGATTTCCCTGCGTTGGCGCTGCCCACCAGATACACGTCTCCTTTGTACTTCCAGGAGCGCTGCAGGCTTGAAATCAGCGGCTCTATCCCATAGCCAGTCTTGGCACTGATTAGGTGGAGGTCAGTGACCTGCGATCCAAACCCGGCATCCTGGCAGTACTGGGCCAGACGCCGCTTGATGCGCTGCAAGTAGTTGGGTGAATCCCCAGGCAGCAAGTCCAGCTTGTTCCCCAGGACCACCACGTGTTTGTTGGTTCCCACCAGGTCAGGCAGGTCTGGCACTATGGAGTCCGGCAGGTCCAAGAGGTCTGCAATGAGCAGCACCAGGGCCTTACGGTTCCGGATTTGTCGCACCACGTCCCGGTACTGCTCCCGGGTCATCTGCAAGTTCAGGGCCTTGTGGTGGTGAGTGATAAGGTGGCAACGCTGGCAGGTGGCTCCGCTCAGTTTCCCCTCCTCCAGCAGAACCTTGAACTTCTCACTGGGCAGGTACCCAGGGACGTCTGCAGCGGTGCAGTGCAGCAAGGCGCCGCATCCCGAGCAGCTGGTGTCACTGACCGCAGCATCTGCATCTGGAGTCCCAAAGATTCGGTGCTCCCCTTTAGGCCCCGCCCTCTTCTTCTTCTTGGACTTGATGATGCTCTCATCCAGTGGGAAGTTCACATCCTGGAACTCTATAAAGGAGTCCAGCCCCGCCTCCTGTAGGGCTTCACCTCTTAGCTGCTGTTTCAGGAAGTGTTTCTGAAGACTAATATGAGGGCTAGAAACCAGTCCTGGAGCAGACCCGGCAGAAGATCTGCAGGCTGTTCTAGGAATAGACTTTGGATCTGAAGCTGAGGAGAGACCTTGCTGATGGACCTTCTCCACCTCATAAGGTTCATCCTCCTGACCTGGATGAGAAGACAAACATTCAGGATGATCCAATAGAAATAGAACCAACTCCATTGGTCCAACAAAGACCCAGCAGCAGAACATTATGATGGGACACATTTTAAAAATGTCAACAACCGGCTTTTAAGAGGATTTTTTTTTGTTTTTTTACAGTATCATTTTCGTAGTGATCCGAATATGATACTGGTCCAGCCACAAATGTCTGTGGAATCTAAATTTAGAGTGATACAAAATATTTCAACATTACAAAGTGATCCTCCAGAGCTACCGCTGTCCTCTAAGCATCTCCTCCCCTTGACAGTCTAGTTGCCCATTCTCTCCATGTTCTGGTAATGAATGGATTAGAACTCAGAGATGTCCAAAGGATATTGTTCTAGAACCAAACCCAGCTTTAAACCGAACCACAGCGTCCTCCCAGACCCATCTGCTCTATCCCTTGGTCTTTGTGATGGTGGTTGTTCTCTACAAAACCCCCCAAGGTCAGACAAAATTGTCTCTATTGTGAAAAAACAAAGTTGAATTCTATCAGTTATTCATGTGGGGAAAAAATGAGGATTGTGAACAAGTTATGAAGTTCGTTGAAACTGGATTTTATTCACCAAAAAAACAGATTTTCTCAGACTTGAAGCAGAATAGAAGAACTTCAAACGTTGGGTATCGACTCAAATCCCCTGAAGAACTGATCTCTGAGCGTTTCAGATGTATGACAACCTTTGGTGAGTCCAGATTGTTTTAGTGAAGAGGAACCGATGGTTGGTCCAAATGAAGCAGGGAAATCCAAACAAAATAACATCTCTGTCAAATAAAGATGCTGCTATTTTGAAACATGTTTTTATTTTGAAAGCAGCCACTTTCCCTTTCCTGTTTTAGCAGCTGTTTGACAACAACTCAGCCGGTTCTAAATAGAGTTTATGAGCCCTGTGATGTTCTAAAGAAGATCCAAACTCAACGCGCTCTGCAGTTAGATGTAGAACTGAGAATGATCAGCTCACATCATTTCACCTGGAAACATATTGGCTGATTGAAATCACAATTTATTAGCTTGACTAAATATGCAATTCAGATGTCTTAAATGCATTTCTTTTAACTCAAAATGAACATTTCAGATAAATAACATTATTCCTATCTATAACTAACTCTATTATAGAGATCTGAAATTAGAGTGCAGCCTTGTCAGAATTAATTTCTAGATAGAACGAATGTTACTTTAGATATCTAGAAGTAAAAGCCCAATACATATGAATGGGAAACACAAATTCATTAGTACTAGAAAGAATTACATTTAAGACATTTAAAAAATTTTTATTTTACATAGGAACAATTTTATTTTAGATATCTGAATCTGTTTATTTTGACTAGGAAGAAATATTTGATGCGTGGATTACAAGTCAAGTTAATAAATGTCAAAATGGCCACTTAAAATTTGTAAAGATTTCTAGGTATTTGAAAGTTTATTCTTACTAGTACAATTATATTTTTTGGCATCCTGGAATTATAATTTAGGATATCTATATGTAGGGTTAAGACTAGTGGGAATGTAGTTGTGACCAGGAATAATCTTATTTTAAAGATCAACAAATGGAACAATAGAGAGGACAGTGCTTCTATTAGATGTCATAACGGCCTGCCATACCTCATACGGTTCTGACCCAAATCCTCGGTTGTGTGAAATACGGTCCTAGAAGGTTCAGGCAAACCGAGCAACAGGTTCTGTAGCTGCTCACCGTTACAGTCCAAGAACACGAACTGCTCCTCCAGGTTCGGGTCCACGGTGCAACTCTGGGCTCCGGACGTCCTGTCGGTGCGTCGCGAGGTGCCGCGCGACGAGCGCTCACCTGCTGCCGTGGAGCTGATGTTCCTCCACAGCTGGCGGCGGAAGCAAACCTGCAGCGTCCTCAGCATCCTGACCCACCGTGTCCGAACCCACGAGGATATCTGTGCTCTCTGTGGTCCTGCTTCGCTTCCTTGGTGGATGTGACGTCACAAATGTTTATATTCCGGTAAACGCTTAAGTTTTTCTATTATACAAAAAAAAAGGAAAATACAATAAGAACAAAGGAATATACCCTAATATTTACTTAAATTAAGTAATTGAAAATTGTTTCTAGTTGCAAATTATTTTTCTTTATCGAGCAGCAAAGAGTGGTGGAGAGCGCAGCAGGAAGACCTCCCACTCTGTAGGAGATCGGAGATCCAAAACCCAACCGGGATTCTTTTCCCCGCTCGGTTGTTCTTCTTTAATGTTCTACCTCAGTTTTTGAGTCTGTTTATTTTATTGTATTAGGGCTTTTCTGCCACATGTCTTCCTGACATTAATGAGGATTATTGGTCTAGCGGAGCCATATCAGGCTGTGTTTGGGTTTTTTGTTTACTTATCATGGACAGTGGTCAGAGTTCACCGTTTCTCACAGAGTGAGACCTCCTGTTTTTAGGACGATCTGCGCTGTTTGTTGCAGGTCGGGATTTTCCTGGTGTTCTCAGAGGGAACCCTCCTGCGCCTCAGAGGATCTCCACTTTCTGGACGTCAAAATGTTGAAGCTGATCGGTTCTTTTCGGCCTACAGCAGCAGCCCTTCTAAGAACTGCTTCTGCTGCACAGGTGAGTCCACCTGCAACCGAACACCAGACCCAGAGCTCAGACCAGGCCCAGACTGAACAGAACTGAAAGAAACGAGACAAAATCACCAGTTTTCTTCTGCAACCCAGGAACACTTTTACACACGTTATTATCTTTCTGTCTTAATAGATATGGTTCTGGATGTTCGGTTCGGTTGTTTCATGTCAGTAATAGTTGATTGGAGGTAAAGGTCAGAAACTACAGTTTATGATTAACCTGCAGCAGGGGGAAGGTGGGAGGGGGGGTCCTGAACGCCTCATGGCCTTCAGCTGTTCTTTAAACAGAGGAGGTGGTGCTGGGGGCGGGGGTGGGGGGCAAGCAGTTGTAAAGCATTTCTGTCCACCCCCACGCAGGCTGGCTCATGGTGCAGTGTCACGTCTCAGAGCAGCAGTGGCCTTCCTAGGCCAGCAGGGGGCAGCAGATGACAAAAACTAATTAGTGCGATTAACGGACCAGACCGCGAGCTCTTCGTTTCCTTTGTCGTTGTCAGAATTTCAGAAACAAAATTTTGTTGAAATGTTAAATAATTAACACAAACATTTTCTCCACGATAAGGAATAATAGATATAAATTCAATAGCAAAATAAATCTTTTTTATTTTAAGTATTGGTGTGAAAGAAATACTCGTTCTGGGACCCACCTGATGGATGATATGGCATCAAGGGCGTAGGTTTGATTTGAACTTTGGTAGGGACACTATTGGTCTGGTGTCATTGGTGCTATGCAATATGCATGCTCTTTTTTATGCTCGATGTGAGCATCCGTACTGATAAGAGGAATTCATTGTTAAAAGAGAAAAGCAACATTTTGCTACATTAATAAAAATGTATAAGCACTACACTCATTAGATGCTGTTTATCAATGTTTGAAGTATCACCGGCTCTGATGAATGTGGAATTAGGACTGTTTTCCACTTTGAAAATGGTTTCATTTGAACGATTAAGAGAGACGGTAAATACAGTTTTTTCTTTTGAAGATATAGAATTGTGCAGAGTTAAACCCCACTCTTATATTTTTACCTAGAATGCTTGCTTTGTATCAAGCAAAATAATACATTCATTAAAATATTAACTTCACTATAAAAGTTGAACATCTGGGCTGTTGTTACTCTGTGTCGCCCATTTCATGTATTTTATCTAGGGCTGAAAAAAATTAATCATATTAATTGATTATTTCAATAATCGTCAACTAATTTAGTAAGTGATTCATCATTAACTGGAGTATAGAGACTTTAAAACATACAGTAATATAAATGTAAAATATGCCTTTCCCCACAGAGCAACCCACATAGATAAAAGTCTCAAGAACCAGGGATATTAGATGTTTTTTTGTTTTTTTTTACTCAAAGCTGAATCCCTTCTTAAAAGCAGCTCATCTGAGGTTCTTCTGTTATGATGGTTTAGCTCACAATCTGAACTGGGAATCGGATGCATTTTTTTTTTGCCCATTTTTCCAGCAGTCTTCAGAACTCCTGGCTGACTCAGAATATTTCGTTTTATAAAAGAAAAAAAAGGTTTTTGTTTTTTAGTGTAGGCCTACATGATATTCATTTTTTTTATTGGGACTAGTTTTGTAGCCTAATATTTATTGTAGTAACCGCTGCATTCTATTGTGAATAAATTTTCAATGTTGTGCTCCAAGCACACGCGGACTAGAA